GAAGAACATGCACAAAGCTACTGTGCTTTAGTGAAGTGCTTTAGTGAATTGGAGGATTCAGATTAAAATCAGTCTTCTCCTGTTCTCTCTCTAGGTTTTTATATGATCATTGTTAAGTCAATAACACCAAGATCATTTAGCAATGCTGAAAAGGGATAGTTAAAATGCCATAGATGAGTGGTAAATGGATAAATTGAGTAAATCTAATGTTAAGCATTTTCAATTTAGCAATAGAAGTTCTGGAGACTATTTTTGGTCATGGTCATTGGCTCACCTCTTGTGGTGAGCTTTAGCTTCATGCCTTCAATCCATCTGGTTTCTACGTGTTGCACTGTTGTGCTCTCAGAATGACCCAGAGGCCACTGAAACGAGACAATCTGCATTGTACTTCAGGCAATTCTTTTTTTTCTGTATTTTTGATACCCATGTCATCTTTTGGATAAATAGATACTAAAGTTGCTGTAAAATCTCTAATAAGAAAGCCAACAGCAGCTATTAACAGCAGATCAAGACAGACTGTGTCATACTGTAGCTACTTCTGATGTAGGTGAAAATAATGAGTGAACTCTGACACCTGGGCCAGAGTGAACTGCTCAGGTCAGCTGGCAAATACAGGAATTGGTGTCCCAGTCTTCAATGTCACATTTGTCATTTTACAATTTAATTTCCAATTAAACACAATCAATTAAAGCTGTATGGATGTAGGAATATCTAGCCTAATTTTCAGCTGTTTGCAAAACCAGGAGTGGCATATGAAGTTCATAGCTTTGTTGTGCTGAATACCTGTTGCTCTCTGCTCATTTTAACTTTCCAGTATTTAATCTAAGCAAAAAATATTCAGTAATTGTGTGGAGCACAGCTATTATGTGGTCAGGTGTGAACTGGTGATCCTGATCAGGACCAAGCTGATCTGTCTGGACCTTGCGTCAGGATTCCTTGTGATGCTTCATATGCAGTGAATGAGGTGTGGAAAGGCCAAATGATGGAGAATTAGTGGTGGCAGATGGTGGTGGTTCTGTGCGTTTGAAAAATACAGCTATGATGCACCTAACCTAACACTGCGTTAGATTACATGAGACCTGAATTAAGTACGTAGTTCATTCTAGGCTCCCTATAAATAGAGAAGCAGGGATAATATAAGAGAGAGAATGTATTCTCCCAATGGTGATTCAGATCTTTTGGCAATTAGGTGGCTATTTCAAGCACTTTGGTTAAGTACCTAATATTAATTTTGGTGACCGTTTCTTCTTCTGTAGCCTAAAGGGTGAAGATTGTTTGAGTGGAGAGGTTCTACACAGAGAGATTGCTATGAAACCTTGGTTTTAATTACCGAGCTGCAGCAGTTGGAATGAGTGCCTTCCTGCTGCAACAGTTTTTGCGCTTGCGTCAGCCTGAATACTCAGTTAAACTCTACCCACACAAGTCATGAATGCATGGAACATGCCAGGCTTCCCTCCCAGACACATGTATCTGCTGATGTGTAAATCCATGATTCAGATCTGCATATTTCTTTTTTTGTTTAACTGGACACTGCTAAAGCCTCTGACTGTTCACTGACGCTACTAAAGCTCCTAACTGAAAATCCAGAGAATTGAACTACAGTGGGAAAAAAATATAGGAAAATATAGGGGGGGAAAAGGGAAAGATAAAGACAACTCCTAAACACTCCCTAAAGAGAAATTTCTCTAAGATCTTGACCTGCAGTGAATGGCTGTGTAATACAACTCTTACATTACTCCAACTCACCTTGAAAATGATGTTCTCTGATGTACAGCTAAAGAGAAGCCTTGTGGGTTGGTCTCGGCAGCTTGCCAATGTTTCACTCATCAAGTGATTTTTGTTGCTTTTGTTACCATTTTTGAGGAGGTGGGGATACTGAGATAATTTTATTTCCTAATAAATGCTTTATTTCACAGCCAGTCTGCTTCAGCTGGCAGCGCTCATAGACAAATTCTCCCTCAGTGCTGGTTACATCCCATATTGACCATAGGTTGTCAAACATGCCAATATCCTGGTGACAGTCTTTCTAGTAAGAAAGGCAGTCTTTTCATAAGAAGCACATGAAAATGAAAGGCCTAAAACTTTATTAACCAAAATTAAACAGCTACTGCTGTTTTGATTTCATACTATACATATTACTGCAGTAGACGCAGGGTAATATAAATAGCAATGCAAGCCTATCTCTGTTGGAGACATGCATCACTTCCTAGCAGTGGCAATTTGAACAATTCCTTTGACTTCATAAAAGCACAAAGTGTTTTTATTGGAACTTTCTTGTTGACTGCACATGCTGTTAAAATGAAAAAAAAAAAAAAAAAAACAAGAAAGGAATGATAGATGACTTGGTAGCTGTCAGCTGTGTCAGTGGAAACAGTCAGCTTTTGAATCGATCCATTATTTTCATGAATTTGACTAAAATTTGCGATTATGTACTATAAAGAGACATAATCATCATAAACCTCCAGCCTTCACAGTAGAAGCTGGAACACAGCATGTGGGTTTCATACTAATGTGCTCTTAAGTTGCAGAGCTGGATTTATTTAGCAATAGGGCTACAGTATGCATCACCTCGTGTAAAACATGAGCAAGTTTGTTGCAATGATTCACAGTAAAACATGTTGATGTTCTCACAAGGGATGCATTGCCAAGTACAGAATCACACAGGGGTACATCCTGCACAGTGAATTTGCTCCTGACTTGGGCAGAGCTCTCAAGAGGCAAGACAGGCAAAATCCTTTAGGCTGCAACCAGCATCCAGCTTCAGAGTTCGTTTGTTTTGTTTTGTTTTGACAAAGACTGCAGAATGAAGCTATAGTTTTAGCATTATTTTTTAAAAACATAAAATAAACAAGTGTTAACTAAGTGTGAAGACACTGAGAAAATGGCCAAATCTTCAGCATGTGTTATCCAGCATAAAATAGAAATAATATTAGGTTTGGTAACCCTTGATTTCTCCTTATAGTTTCTTATTTATGGCTCAACTTGTCAAAAATATTCATATATAACTCACTGTTGATCACAGGACTAATTTAATTACCAGTTCTTTTTATAATGCTGACACAAAGGTAGAAGGATACATAGTGCTTGTATTGAAGCCAATGCTGCAGATGATAAAACATTTTTGAAATTAGAAAATTTTGGATGAAAAATGTGTCTCTTTTGTCACAATGTTCCTGTTTTTTATCCAACTCTAATTAAAACTGAAGAAGGAGAGTGAAAAGCTGGTTACATTCCTAGTTCTGGCATGTAATTAATTGCCAAGAACTCAGCCTAGATATTTTAACTCTATGCACTAATGTTCCACAGACCTCTTTACTTATGACAGGGTGAAGACTTTTATAGTCCCAATTATTTCTATTTATGAAATGTATTTTTAAAACTTTTGGAGTTATTCTTTAAGAAAAAAGATACCATACCAACTTCAGATGTAATTTTAAAGACATTTGAGAAAAAAAACAGTATAGCATGGGCATGGCCATACAGCGTAGGTTGATGAACTAATCCCATCTCTGTTTTAAAAATATGAATCACGGAGCCATCACACATTCTGGCATTTCTAGCAACCTGCTCAAGAAATGCCAGTGAGCAATACTAAGTGTGCAAATTAGGGTAGAGGGGCATTGGTAAACATGATGGAGACTCCACTGTTTTCCTAGCTCTTAACAGTTAATAATGTGTAAAATTTACCAAAAAGAAAAAAAAAGACGAAACTCTTAAATTTAGCTTTTCTTTACCTCTGAGAACACACACAGTCAAAAAAAAGGGTGCGATTTTTCTGTTAAGTTTCTGGATTTTGTCTCCGGAGCAGTTATGCAACCCAATCACATTCCTTCTAAACTAAATGGGAGGTCTGTCATTAATCTCCATAGAAACAGGTGCCAAACCTGAGCGTCCCTCACCCGTGTACTCCCACGGGCTTCAGCCTGGACCAAGACACGTGTGTGCATGAGGAATACACACTTGTGTTTTGGGCACTTAGCTTCCTTCATGTTTCCTATCCTAAATTTTCTCCGTTGCGATGATGTCTGCAGTAATGATAGAGGTACAGTTAACTAAGTCACTCACGATTGAGGACAGTAAAGTGTGAAGCTGTCAATCCCCCCACCCCATGACTCAAATGATATTTTCTTTTCTCATCATTGGCATCTTCCCACGACCATATATTTTTCGCTCCTTTTGGGAACCAAAGACTCAATGTGAATGGGTAGTAGACGCACCACCCATTTGCCAAGTAATGCTAGGGTGTTCTCTGGAAACAGTCTTTTAATTCTGTTTCTACCTGAGGTAAAGGAAAAAAAAAAGAAAAACATGGCAACAGATGGTGGGGAACAACTGGCATCTTATCAGGCATATTTCATTTGATTTGCAGCTAGTCACCCCTCAATAACAGTATTAAATGATACAAAACTCAAAGACTTTGTTCCTGGGAATACTGTATTCAGTGGCATAAGATCAACACCATAACTTCATCTAAATTTGAAGCTGGTGAGCTATGATTATTTACATTCCTAGCAGGGTTGCCTGGTGATACAAAAAGCTCGATTCTTTGTTTTTTTTTCTATTTCGTTTAGGGCAAAAGAAAAGATGCATTTGCCTTTGTGAATGACCGATCTTGCTTAATGCTTTTTGAGAGCAGAATGGGGTGAATATATTGTGTTCCATTGTGCTCCTGCTCCATGGCATTCTGCTTGGAGAGAATTTGATCATTCATTCTGTTCTATTTACATTATACATAAGGACAAAAGAAAAGAGGGATAGTCTGTTTAATGATTATATACAGTCTGATTTGATTGAAAAATGTGTTACAAATGACAACGCAGCCTGTCAAGTACGTAATTATATGTTGTTCCTGGTTTTTCCAGGGAACTTTTAAGTCTCAAAATCCCACTCTATGATCTCGTAGGAAGAACTGTCCTAGCTATACATTTTGCTTGAGGGGGTCAACAATGTGAGGAAAGAAACAGCATAATAATAGGCTTCTAAAACCACATGAATTCCTACTTAATAGCCACTGTTCTTCATTTTAATATGAGGGTTACCTTTGTAAAACTCCTCTTCTAAAGCAAATTAAAAGATGGAATCTGATACAACAAAACATTACTTGACATTAGCAGAAATAGTAACTTAAATTTCATTCATTGTCCCTAGCCTCAGAAGAGATACTGGGGAATAAAATATCACTCCCCTGTGATGCATTGCTTATCTGCGACTTTGTTTTTAATAAGAATTGTGCTCTCCTGTACATTATTCTTTCCTGTTCTTGCTTTAGCTCAATGTAGGAGCGTGAAAACGTGTGGAAAATGGAAGTGACTGGGAATGCCATGAGGAGGATGCCGCTCAGAATGCTGCTCAGTGCCACCACCTGGCCGGGAATGCTCCTGGGCACCATGTCGCCGTAGCCCACGGTGGTCATGGTGATGACGGCCCACCAGTAGCAGGCGGGGATGCTGGTGAACTCCTGCGAGTCCGCCATCTCGTTCTCCACGACGTACAGGAGCGGCGCGAACAGCGCGATGGCCACGCAGAGGAAGAGCAGCAGGAGGCCGAACTCGCGGGTGCACCTGCGAGCCGTGAGCCCCAGCGTCTGCAGGCCCAGCGAGTGCCGCGCCAGCCGCATGACGTACAGAATCCGCAAGGCACGGAGTATCCGCAGGACCAGGCCTACTTTGTCCAGGTAGATGTTCCCAGAGCTCGGCTTCTTATAGCCCACCGAGGTGGTGTCTACTAGCAGGGTGATGTAGTAGGGCAGAATGGCTATTATGTCTATCAGGGTCAACGGTCTCCTCAGAAAGGCAAATTTGCTCTTTGCCTGGATGAACCTGAGCAGGAACTCCAGTGAAAACCATGCCACGCAGACAGACTCCACAATGAAAATGTTGTAGCACATCTGGGAACACTCACCCTAGAGGAAAGAGAAGGAGGTTGTAATCAGCACTTGGAGAATAAATATTTTAGTCGGTATAGTGGCAGGAAAAGAGGTGGTTGTTTTTCTTTTTTTCCCAATTAAACCAAAAATACTAAAGAAGTTGAAACTGTAGTAGTGGGGAAACAATCTGACAAACTGCAGCTATGAGCTAAATGCAAAATTTAAAATTAACTATACTTATTCCACAGATGACTTTGCTCAGTTACTTCATGCTTTCTAAGTAGCAAATACAAAGCTTAAAAAGATAATATACCGTCGTACAGAAGAATGCACACTAACAACATTTCCTTTGGACAAGAAACTCGATATGGTTGCTTCTCTTACAAGTAATTGAATACAGTCATGTAACACTTGCAATATCCTTCATGTTGTTTCCACAGAGGACAGCTACAAAATCCTCACGTAAAACAATAGAATCAGATCCTATATTTGTTATGCTTTTCCTAGCACATACTATTTTCCACCCCAAAAATCTAACTTACCCTTTCCTCCTCCTCCCTTAGGTCAGGCATGGTGCTGATGGACAAGTTCACTGCTGTAATAGTGACAAATAAAACAGACAAACAAGCAAACACCTTCCCAGGGAGGCCAGACTGGGGCCTTTCCACCATGTCTTGCAACTTTTTCATGCACAAGCCGAATTTTGTCTCCTCCACTGTTTCACCCGGGATTTCATTTTCTAGCAGATCATCGTCTCTTTCATTCATTTCTGTAAATTCCTCCATTTTTTGCAGGTATCTCCTCTTACAACACCAGTCCAAATTGTCTTCCTCGATTCCCCAGTAGAGCAGCTCCTCCTGGAAGGACAGCGCACACATCTCACGCAAGAGCCGAAGTTTTCCAACCCGCAAAAAGGTCAGGATGGTCCTGAATGCTCCAGGATTGCGGTCGAAAAAAAATTCATTACATGTCACATCATAATCATCACAGATGTTCAGAATGTCATCAAAATTGTTACAGAATTTCAGTTGGCCCAAACGTGTCAACGGGAATTCATCAAGCGTGGTCCATGGGAGCAAATACTTAATGCCTCCTACATTTATAATAATGTGATGCTTCCGATCATCTGAGTGAATGCCTTTCAGGAGATCTTCTTGTGGGTGAATTAGTCTGGCTCTTTGGTAAAAGACTCCCTTAAGGGTTTCTGTTTCTGGAAAGAATGTGTGGTTGAAGGAATTATCTGAAGCACAGCTCAGGGCACTATAGTCATAATCAGAATTTTCTCCTGGTAAAAGAGTCATCTTGGAAGCTAACTTCACATCACTCCTGCAAGTGTCTTCTGGAACAAAACCAGGTATTTGGCTTTACTGAGTGTTTGGCCTTTTCCAGCTTTTGGAAGAAATATAGTGACTGAAACTTGAAAATATTTCAGGTTGAGGAGATATCTGGAAGGAAAACAGTAGTAGCTGTTCAACCACAGCAGTGGTTTCTAGTGAAGCTGGTTTGATCCTGTTGGGTAGAACTGACTGTCAGGGTTTCTCTCTCATCCTGGAGCTCTGCTTGGTGTGTTTGTCATGTTGGGAGGCTGATCCTAGCTCAAAGGCAGAAGTCTTGGTTCCCAGTGCATATACAGGGGTCGGTCAGGATATGCATGTGGCAAGATTCTCCTGGTTCAGAAGCAAAGTATAAAAATTAAGCTAGTATCGCAAAAATACAGAACTCTCGTGTTTTGTGGAAAACTTTCTATTAACAACTATGCATAAAAATAAGTATTTTAGTAGCCATAAACCATGCAGAAATAGAAATCAGTTAAGTTATAAATCACTAAATATACACTTTTAAAAACAGTTACTACAAGACTTAATTTATAGAAAGCCATATGAAAACAATTTTGGAAAAAAGCACACTTGCACTGATGATCACAAACCGTATATACATTTACTGTCCATACACTTAACGTAAGTTTAATGGCACGGCATCTCCTTTCTATAAACTCATTTACAAAAGACTGTTAAGAAATACCTGATTTCTACACGAACATTGCAATATTATTTCAATTATAATTGATACCCTATACGCAGTAACAGCTCTCTGTGCCACTGATGTATTGCACAGTAGCTGAGCATAAAGATGGCCATCTGTCATTGCAGAAAACCAATTTTTAAGACACGACTTTGCAAATTGGGTTCAAATTCTGCTTGCACAACACTAGTGCAAGGTTTGTGGAATTAAATCATCACAGACTTCAAATGGGTACAGAAGCCAGGGACTGGAAATGTTGAATAACTTCTCTCCCTAATTCAATGATTTTAAAAATCAGTCTGGAAGTTAGCTCCCGTGTAGGGGAGTTACCCAGTCCTGGTTCAAGATCCTTCATCTGTGTGGTCAGCTATGCTTACAGCATGGAACTACTGAGCTTCATTTATTGATAAAAGCATTTATTAGAAAGGTTGCACAATAAATAAAATATGAATATATTCTTTCTTGTTTCAAGTGCACAGAAAAGTGAATAAACATAAATATTGTATTTCACTGACTTCAATAACAGTATATAATTTAGTTCTCTTCCTGGCTATACTTACCTCCTCTTTGATATGCACCCTGGGGAATATGTGCCCCTGCTAGGGTAACGTCCTTAAAAACAGAACTGCCATTTTCAGAAGCTGGAGTTTATAAAACACATCAATTGTGTTACATACCTATTACAGAAAAAAAAAATCCATGAATACGCAACAGCAGAACACTTAAAACTTGGTTGCATTTCAGTTTAAGTGCAGCAGATGGTCTTTGCTGCAAGGGGACTTAAAACGCTGCCTTCAATAAAATATTATCTCAGTCCTGCTCTGAAACTTCACAGGGGTATTCTAAACAGAACAGATTCTTTCCTGCCCTTAAACACCTGCTTGGTGTAGAGTGATATCTTGTGGTTCCTCTTCTGTAATACTTTTTAGTACAAAAGGAAATCATTTGTTTACTTACCTCCAGGGTATGGGATAAATGAAGTCTACTGGCATGTGCAAGAATGGACAAGGCTTAATTCAGGTGGCCCAAGTGCTAAGGAACTGCTTTCTGGCCGGAGGTAAGCAAAGAGGTAAGTCCTGTCGCCTTGCTGGTGTCAGTGATGTTTAGAACAACTATTTGGAGAGGAGTCTATTCCATGTGCTAAAATCATACTCATTCTTAACTCTCTGTGGCTTATCACTATGTACTTGCTCACAGAGCTGAGCTGCTCTTTTCTGGCTTTGGAGTTAAGAGTCTGGAAACCCTTGCAGCAGGGGATGGACCACCCAAGCCAACAGAGTGCAAGCCATGACAAAAACATGTGGGCCTGCCCTCAAATTGCCAATCCGTTTCAGCATGTCTTGTCTTAATAAAGGCAATAAACTGAGCCCTCTGATCTGAAAATCTTGTTTCTGAAAGAACATTAACTTGAAAATAAAAAAGCCATATTCTAGGAAATTCTAGGCAAACCTGGGATTATCAGTGGAACTTCATGACAAATGATGGCACTTTGCTCTTACCTACTTGTAAAGCTGCAGACCTCAGATAAGTGAACAAGTCTGAGGAAAACGATAGGCAGTTGAGATAGGGACAGCTGGAGCATGTTGAACAGAAGTAAGAAACAGGTGAACTGGCAATTACCCCAGGCAACAGTCCCATCACATGGAACATGCCTAATGAGCCCACAGCCAGGCTCCTATTGAAGCAACCCCAAGATCCTGTCTATGTTACCTGTAGAAATAATGTCACTGGGAGTTTAAGCTTTAGCTGGGAAAATGGAGCTCCCTGATGTGTGTTTATATAGGGCTCTTTTCCTTGGAGTAACTTGTTTTATGTAGAAACCATCTTTTCCCCCTTTCTACCTCGACAATGTCCTGGACTGGGGGGCTGGTCCAAGGAGAATAAAGATTATGATTAATGGAAGACTGTGGACAAATGAGACCTAAGTTAATCCTAAATTAGCCATCTTCCCTTTTGCTATACCAGATGATGTCGGTTAAGAACAAATTCTGCCCTGAATCTCAGCCAGGAAGAATGAAGAGGCAGCTCCTCTGTGTAGCTAGTTTCATCTCCTACCACATCCACTGCTGACACGATAGGAAGAAATGGGGAGAGGGAAATGTAAATGTTCTGCGTGTGTCAGACGTGCACCGTAACCCTGAGGCATCAACTGTGAAATAACAGGGTGAGGAAAGGGAATTTCTTTCTTAGCTTCCAGCCTCTCAACCTGTGCAAGACAATCAGCTGGACAAATTAATCCCCTGTGTAACACACTGAATGACTGTGGTTATAAAAGGTGGGTCTTTCTTCTTCCATCATGAGAACTGGCGAGCCAACAGACTCCACATAGAAACCACAATATTTCATGCTATATACACATTATTTACATATTCTTTACCTCTGATGCACATAGCATCCTATCTCAGAAAAAGAGAGGAGAAAATAAAGGATGATAAAAAAATAAAAAATAAAAGGCCTGACTTGAAGGAGGAAGGAGGAAAATAAAGCAGTATACTTCTCTCTCTGCTTCTTGTTTCCGTTTGGAAAGCACTTCTGCAGAATGATGATCAGCAGTGCTTTACGACAGGAGATGCCTGATTAATGGAAGGGTTTTTTTGCTAGTGAGTGAACAACAAGCAAATTGCTTTATTCATACAGCACTGGCTGATGACAGTGTGGATAGCTGTAAGAGATGCCTTAAGGATTAAAGACAATGCTTTGGAATGTAAAGTCGGACAAACGGGCTGGCCTATAGCAACAATTTCCCCAACAATTAAACAAGAGGAACTTTAAGGATGTGCTGCAATGTTAAAATCCTCAAATAAGACTGATCTGGGTAAGGGCTAACAGTAAAATCCTACCAAGTCTCTTCATCTGCAGTACCCTTCTGCCCTTGCCTTAGGACTTTGTGAATCCCTGTGCTTCCCAGCTCTTCCTGCCCATACCGTGTGCTCGTCTGGCACGAAGAATTCCTCTCCAAGTGCCCTCTTGTCCTATTTTGTCTCTAAGCTTTAAGAACCATCTTTTACTGTGTTATAAAATCCTGAGTTTTGGCTTTTAACAACTCTGGTAATACTGAAGAACTGGCCCACAGCAAGGGCCACGGTATGTCGGGGGCATGGTGTACATGTGAAGCAAGAAAGAGCATTTCAAGAATCTCTGTTGCACCCCATAATATTCTTATCCATTATGTCTGGGGAAGAAATTGAATTAGAAATCTGTACTGCCCTCACTTCCAGCTGAAATTCAGGAAAAGTGCCAGACTACTAGACAATGGGGAAAGAATTATTAAAGATGTCCTTCTGAAGGAAAGAAATAGAAATCACGAGTAACATGCTAAAATTCTACCTCAAGTGTTGTTTTTCCCTCCCCTCCAGTGTCCTCTGCAGTATTTTGAATTCTGCAGTGCATCTCTGATGTAATCAGAGCTCCTGCAAGGCGTCCTGATACGGTTCCGTGATGCAGACAATTCAAAGTTGTGCCTGGATCACAACAAGAGCACAGGGAAGAGGGAGAGCCCCCCTGGACTCTTGCATCAATTCTCCTCCCTGGATCGCCACTTTTGCTTTCTGCTGCCTGTAGATCCAGGAAAACAAGTTTCAGTGCAGGGTGAAAATGAATCTAGTGATTTTTCGGCAAGCCTTCCATAAGCAACTGCTTTGCAGTTTAGTGATCTTTCCTCCTTTAGGCTTTCCTTAGTTAGAAAGGCAGTGTTTTTCAGCAGAACTGAATTCACTATCACATTCACTGCACCACCGCTCTCAGGGCACCTCACTGAATCGCTTCCCTCTCTATTCACCCAGCTCCTCACGTAGTAACAGCAGGGCTCAAACTTCAGCTCCCTGCTTACAAAGTGAACTTCTAGCCAAATCAGCGAAAAGCTCATAAAGGTCAATGTATAGCATGAAACAAAATGATCCTGAAAAACATTTCTGGAAGAAAACACACTCGGGTCTGCTTAGTGCTGTCCTTGATCTGGTCAATGCTATGCTTTTGGGTTTGTTATAGCAACCTACAAACTGAATAAGGACAAATGCAACTCAATTTTTTGTTTTATTTCAGATTGTTGATGAGCCTTATCTTGCCAATAGCAATGAAAACTGGAATGTTTGCTAGAAAACTTAAATGCCCAGAATAATGTTCAGAAATTCACTATGACTGATAAATGGTATTTGTTCTTTGCTCTGAAACATATTTACGTTACCTAATTTTATGAAGTCACATCCTAAACAATCTTTTAAACATCTTAAAAATGAGTTTTATTTATATAGATAAACCTTTTGCCACGGCACCGAAGAGCTAGCAAGCCAGAGTTGTTGTTCTCCATCTCCCACAAAGTCTTTTCCAACGGAAAAAAAAGAATTGCCAGAAATACATTGCCTCCCCAGAACAGTTAACTTTCTGCATTAGCTGCTCATGAACAGGAGCCGGTGAATATAAATCCATCGCCAGAGAAGGCGACTCGTCCTTTTTTTCCCGAAATCGGAGCTCTGAGGGCGCTAGCAAGCCAGAGTTGTTGTTCTCCATCTCCCACAAAGTCTTTTCCAACGGAAAAAAAAGAATTGCCAGAAATACATTGCCTCCCCAGAACAGTTAACTTTCTGCATTAGCTGCTCATGAACAGGAGCCGGTGAATATAAATCCATCGCCAGAGAAGGCGACTCGTCCTTTTTTTCCCGAAATCGGAGCTCTGAGGGCGAAGCAGCCGGGA